GATGACTCTGCGGAGGAGAAAATTTGTCAAAAATTGATACATTATTGTCGCTGTTTATCATATGATACAAGCAAGCTTATGACACAAGGAAAAAAAGCAGATAAAATGAAGAAGTAAAAAGATTAGGCGAAAGATGGTAATAACATTGCAAGTGGGATAATGGATGATTTGTCATTTAAGATTTAACCTTCAATACCATTAAGTTTATTTATGTAGCTGATGATGTTTTAAGCATCAGTAATGCTATCGGACCGTTTTCAAGAGGTTCTTCTTATGTTTACTTGATTACATAGCAGAAAAAAAAACTTTTTTTTCTTTGATACAATTTTCTGATGAAAATTTTATGATCAGTTGATATTTTGGTGAGCATCGATTTTTGCCGTTTTATTTTACACTGAATTAAAAGATGTGTTCTGTATTTTCGATGTTCTGTAAATCAGCAGTAAATGGCAGTTTTTTTCAATTAATTTTATTTTATTTTTGTATGTTATAGATGTACTAAAAATGTCAGCAAGCGAATCAGATAGTGCAGCCCCATCAGATTCTTGTGATCCAGGAATTCGTTCAGTTGCTATCTCAGTCTCACGGGATTATGGTACTAAAGTTGATCTTATTTTCAGGTATTTTTGGCAAGTTACTGTTTAATATCTCTTTCAGAAAAAAGAAAAGTTTATGAATCAAAACCTAAAGTGTTACGTGAATGAACAACGGTAACACGTCATCGGTAATTTTGTAATGCTTATATCGGCAGATGAATACGAGTGTATCTGTTTTTTTTACGCCAATCTTAGTTTGTCGGAAAAAAATTGTTGTTAGCCTACTTAGTCAGTCTTTGATAAACGATGACGTTGGTAAAATTTCGTAACTATACATCTGAGGGTATATTTTGCATTTTTTTGATCAATACTTAATTCTGTTTGGCAACCATTGTTCGTTTGTTTTTCTTTTTTTTTCTTTTTGGCTTTCAATCATGAAAAGTAAAATTGCTTTTCTCAAGTTTTTCTGTTTGTTTCAGATTACATGGTCTTCGAAAAAAACGTGGATTTCTCACAACGTTGGTGAATACATTTAAAAAGCCAACAGAACCCTCCAAATTGTGTGCAAATGCAAAATTCACTTCGTTCAGCTTAACTGCATCATCATTACAATTTTCCGTAGATGTTAGACGTGAAAGGCGTAAAAAAGGGAAAAAGAATGCACTTCGAGATCAAGTAGATACCTATAGTTGTCATATCAAAAAATTTCCATCTAATATCAATCCGGATTCTGCGGAGTTTGAGGTAATTTCTATATATTAGTTTTTTTCTAGTTGTTTTGTACTTTTTTTTTTCAATTTGTCTACTGAATGTACTCTTTTGATTGTTGAGTAATTTTATTTAGATAATGGAACCGGCAAGTGGAGATTGCTTTGTGATGATAAGTGTAATGAAGACCAGTAATCAGACGGTAAACTGGAAGGAATATCAGGATTTGAATGGCACTATTGATGTTTCGGAGTCATAATTTTTTAAGTCTTTTACAATATTCAGTTATTCAAATTTTGTATTCACTTTTAAAGCTGCCGTGTTTACATCCTTTCTGTTTTTTTTTTCTCTCAACTTTTTTTAACCCACTAATCATTAATGAACATTAGAAAGCCAAACAAATATCTCGGTTCTTTTTTTTTCTTTTTGACCACAACTTTTATTTCCACCATTTTCTTCTGTTTTTTATTTTTTTTATTTATTTTTGTGTTTGTTTTTGGCGGATACACTTAGGAAATATTGAACTTAATCGATGGAACCGTTGAAGTCTGTATTTTTTTCACAGAAAATTTTTTTGCTTTGTCTGTCTCTTTTTTTATCCTAATTTTTTAAGAACTACTGAAACGGGTATATTTTAATACACACAGTTTCCATATGTTCTTTCTTGTCAGCAAAATTTTGTTTTTTTCCTAATTCTATTGTTATTCACTGCTTACTGTGTTGTTATTGACTGTCTACAGAAATTTGCTTAAATTATTGCAACCGTCAGAATCGGTTTCATTGATGTTGGGACATGTAAAAAAAAAAGTCAAAGAAATGGTTTGACCTAAAATTTTTTGCTAGAAGAAACTTTGCAGTTGTTGTTATTACTTTCAGTTGTAAGTAATTATCACTACAGCTTTGTTTCTTTGACTGTCCATCTGGAGGACTTGACTGATCGTCCGATGAGCTATTTTGTCATCGAACAGTCATCATTAGACCGAAAAGAAGAAAAAAAGAAAAGCAGAATCAATAATATGTCAAATAAAAAAATGAAGCAAAACTGCTGTAGCTTCGAAGCAACTGAAAAAAAAAAGAGGAAAAATTGAAACTAATCGTTTCTTTTCTTTCCATTTTTTTTTCTGTTTCTTTTTATGTATGGTACCTTTGTATTTTTTTGATATTTAAATTCCTTTTTTTTTTGTTGTTGTTGTCCTTTCCTTCGTTCGTCTTGCTGAACAACAATCTCAAAGCAGCAAAGTTGTGTATATCTGTCGTTTAATATTAATATTATTGCTGTTATTCTAATTGGATATTTCTTTTAACAGTATTTGTTGCTTCTCGTTGTCGTCGTTTTTGTGCTTTTTTTTTTTGTGTCCTTCAATCTTCTCGTTATGGACGTTTTGTTCATCGACAATCTGTGCGTAGATATGTATTTTGTGGATGCTTGAAAGTAAAAAAGAAGAGTTTTTAAGATTTATTTAATTTTTTTTATTTTGTTTGTTTGTTTGTTTGTTCAAAAATATCATCTTTTTAAGATCACATCACTGTATTACAAAAAAGAAAAAGGAAAAGGAAAAAGAAACAAAGAATTTCTTCCAATTCATAGAAGAGGAAAATCATAGCACCATTATTCGGTTCTCTCACGGACACAAAATACATCTTACAAAGAAGACATGAAGAAGACGAAGAAGAAGAAGAA